ATGAAAAAAAAATAGGATAAAAAGTGGGATAGAAAATAAATCAGAAATTGGAACAGAAGATCTATTATACTTCTAAGTTTTGCCATGCATATTCATCACAATGGATCTTTGTTTCATCTCTTGTTCTATTTTTTATTCCACTTTTTAGTAAATTATTACTTCTCTTTCATAAATATTATATTTTAATTCTTTTTTATTTTCTTACTATTACATAATTTTGACACGATAAAAATTAAATACAACAATTTCAAAAAAAGCAATATATATGAGAAAATCACAAAATAAAATAGAATATGTATAAAAAATCTCACTTTTCTATGTATTTAATTTTCTGATTTTGTTAATTTTATGTATTATTAATTAATAGTTATTAAAACTTAAAAATAAAAAAATTAAAATATGGTGTTTATGAAAAACGAAATAACAATATTATAAAAAAATAGCACATAAAGTATAACAAAAAGATGTACCGGATACATTCATGCATCATATCCCATTGGTCCGCCTAGGTGGGAGCTATATGCATCATATCCCACCTTCTTTGAGTGAGATACCAAAAAGCGTAGCTTCTATAAGCATGATTAATAACGCTAACAAAAAAGCCAGACATTTCTTTCACACAGTCACATGTTACATTACTAAGAAGCTTATTAGATCCCAGGAAAAAGTTGGGGTTAGTTTCATATTGCACCCTTGAATGATACCTCCTTTTTCAATTTCGTACTTAAACTTTAGTTCATAATACTTTACTCCCTAAAAATCTTAAATTCATTCCCCATTACTGCAACCATCAATGGAATGTACAAAATCTGATAATGTAGTTGTTATTCTTGGTTAGCTTATGACTAACACTAGGGTGCCTTTGGGAGTTGAGGATTTGAACGGAAGAGAAAGGGAAAGAAGAGAAAGACTGATTTTGCTTTGTTTGGTAGTTTTAAGCAGGAAAGAAAAGAAAGGAAATGTGAGGATGAATAGTGACCAAAATGTTTCCTCTCAAATTGGAAGGAAATGGAGAGAGAGTTTGGAGAAAGCTTGTTAATTTTTTTAAAATGCCTATTTTGTGCCTTGAACAAATATTTAATGACTTTCATATCCAAAATCGTTCCACTAATTCTCAAAACTCGCAAATAACATAACAATCTCTTCTCTTCTCTTTTCTTCTCTCATAAGTCATAACTGAAGCTTTCCCTTCTTTTCTTTTCTATCCTAAACTCCCAAACTAAGCCAAGGGTATTCCATGAATACCCTTGAATGATACCTCCTTTTTCAATTTCGTACTTAAACTTTAGTTCATAATACTTCCTAAAAATCTTAAATTCATACCCCATTACTGCAACCATCAATGGAATGTACAAAACTGATAATGTAGTTGTTATTCTTGGTTAGCTTATGACTAACACTAAGGGTACGTACTCCATGAATAGAGTGACATTAATTTGATTACTTTTGTATATTTCTCCAAGGATTGAATTAAAATGGGATGAATATAAGATTTTAGAAATAGAGTGTTCTAAACTTTAGTTCATGGTTGGGTGTAATTAGAAAGTACAAAATAGAATTACTTTTCAAAGTTATATAAAAATTTAGATATATACAAAGATAAAGGGTGATACCAATGAAACTCTCCCTCCACTGGAGTTTTAGTAGTTATATACTCTCCATTTTCTGTAACAACCCTCAAAATCTAAAGGCCACCGTGAATTGATTCCTTTGGTTCTTCACTCTAACAGGGAAACAAGAGTGTCAAGGAAAAACAGCCAAAAATAGAGTATGAAGGACAAACAGGCAGCAACATTATCCAGAAAAAACGAGCAAAAATGAATTCCAAGGGAAAACGGGTACAAATAGAGTTTGAAGAAGAAACAGGCAAAATTTTCCAGAAAAAACCGGCAAAAAGTAGGTTCAAAGGAAAACGGGCAAACAAGAAAAAACTCAGCCTTCCACAACCAAAAGTAATAGAGTTCCAAGCTGGAGAAGAAGTGGAGGTGATGCTGAAGGAGGAAGGTTTCGAGGGTTCGTACTATGCTGCAAAAATACTATCTAAGGAGGATGCTTCTCAGTATAAAGTGGAGTATAAAACCCTCTTGAAAGAAGACGATTCCGGACCACTAGAAGAGGTTGTCGGCGTTCATCAGCTCCGCCCTTCGCCACCTCCTTTTCCGGTCAGCTATTTCAGCTTGTATGAGTTAGCCGACGTATATGAGAGCGATGGCTGGTGGGCTGGAATCATAAATGGGAAATTCCAGTCAGACTATTTCGTCTACTTCCCTACAACTCAAGAAGAGATCCCTTACCGCTTTGAGCAATTGAGGATGCATCAAGATTGGTCAGATGGCCAGTGGATTTCCTCCAAGGAGGCAACGGCAAGTCCTTCAAACTCATCTCTGATCTCCTTTTTTTTTTTTTTTTTCAAATTTTTTCCTTTTACTTTCAAACGGAAAAGCATGAAATTGCAAATTCTTCTACAATTTATCTGGCTAAGGGTTGATCTCCTTGTCTAGGGTCCAGGATAGTCGAATTATTGTTTGTAGATCATCAGGAACATTTTCTTTTATTCTATATTTATTTTTAATTTTGTTGATTTTATCATTTTATGTTGTCATTAGTTAGAATATCATTTCACATGGAGGTAGGTAAGGTAGTCCATTAAACTTGTTACTACTTTATTTACTCTTTTTGGGTTCTTTTCTAGGCCACTTGATCAGTAAATTTGTGCTTTAAGTTGCTATTTTGGTGATTTCTTGTTGATCTGGTCTTTTCTTCTGTCATACTTGGTAAAACATTTCTTTTCAGGACCACATTATCAGTATCTCAGAGCCGGAAGGGAATACAAAACAAAACAGGACGAGGAAGATTAAGAATAAGGTAGTCGCTAATCAGCTAATTAATCTAGTAGGATGTTGTTTAAACTTAAAATAGAACTTCTGCTAGTCTAACCATCAAATCCCAAAGCTGATATTCGTCTGTCTTTTCACTTCTGCAGGCATGATGTATGGCTTAACAGCTGGATGAGGATAGACTCACTGAGGAGGCAATATATGAACATTTTTCTGATGAAATGCAATACCATACACAGACTTTATATGGAGCGACCATGATGAGAAGGGTTTAGCTTACCTTTTTTTTTTGTTTTGTTTTGGTGGTTGATGGCTTGTTTTGTTTCTTTTGATTGGCTGTATTAATTACATCCAATTGATGTCACATTTCTATTAGGTGAATTGAAATATATAAACTTGGTACTGTATTTAAGGGGCTTTAATACTAGTTTACCTATAATCATCATTTTTCAAGTCTCGTACCCAACTCCTCATCCTTGTCTGGATTGCCATTTTTTTAAAAAAAATTTTTAGATTTGTCGTGAGTGTATTTTTAATTTTTTTTTAGTTCACGTACATTAAATCTTTATACTACAATTTTTTACAAAAATTTTGGAAAATAACAATCCAAACGGGTTTGGCTTTTGAAAGGAAATTACTTCGAGTACAAATGCCTATCAAACTTGGTTCTCGAAAATAACACTCGAAACATATTTCCCAAGCCAAAAATTGGAATTACTCATCTTCTTGCTTAATACCCAAAAAAAAAAACTTCTTGTTTAGTTTGAATGTCAATCTTTAAAGTGCTTAAAGAATTTTTTCTTCTCTTGCCAAATGAGTAACGAGTAGCTAGAGTACGTAAAAAATCTAGGTTGTCAATCTCCAAAAGTTTAGGATGGATCAGGAAATTAAGGTGCTGTTTCTTGATCAACCATTCTCACTCTAAAAGTCATGGATGTCATGATAAATAAAAAACGAGGCAAAGAGAAAGTTATTTGATGAGCACCAAGGGAAAACCAGAAGCGCAATGTTGTAACCAGGGAGGAAAGAGTGATGCACATTTCCGTGTAAAAGTTTTGAGACAGAGAGCATTTAAGAGTGCACAAGAATCCCTCGACTCTAGTCAAGTGAAAGCCAAAAAAAAAAAAAAAAACTAGACCACTGTACAACTTTATGGATCAACTGATCTTACAATTTCAACTAAACTTAGAACCTAGAGGTTCTCATAGGCTTCTAATAGACTCCATAGAACAACCTTTTTTTTTTTAAGAAAAATTTGTCAGATTTTATGCGTTCCTCTCATATATGAAATCAATGAATTTGAGAATTTTATAGAGAAATTTGATAAAGAATTTAAGAACAATGGAGGGTTGTCTCTTCTCAAGTCTTTTACTCCTATTCTTAATGTTTTTTATTAAATCCTCCGTGCTTTTAATTAAAATTGGACAAAAAGGTCCTTCAATTCTGACTGAATTTACGTCTAAAATGATTAGAAATTCTTAAATTATGCATTTTTAATTGTTTAAGAGTCAGTTGGAAATAAAAGTTGAATAACGATGATAATTTAAGGGCATCTCAAATTTTTTACTCAATCTTTTTTTTTTTTTTTTGATTCCTTTACTCAATCCTACTACCAGCGATGCATCAACCTATCTAATGAACAGAGAAAATAAGAGGACTAAATTGATATTCAAGTGCTAGTTCCCAGTTTGTTCGTATATTTGGAGCTATCGACCAGCCAGCAACTACTCCTTGCATCATCTCTGCAATGCAAGTAATCAACACGTCTGCAGGCCTATCATTGTTCTGAAATAGCCCGGAGTTTCCTTCCAGCCACACATTGTAGAATTTAGCTCCCAATGCCAACATCCTGAAAGATTGCATGAATTCAGGTCCTCAGGTTCGACTCCCGAGCACTTCCGTATTGTGATGCTTGGGGCGGGCTCTCACAGCCTGAGAGGAGTGGTTTGGCCGATTCAGGTGATTCTGGCCAGGTTAGAATACCTTCCAATCGACAAAAAGAAAAAAGAAAAAAGATTCCCACTAAATACTCGGTCAATCAATGTTAACTCCCCATTCCAACTTCCAACCAAACCCCCCTCTAAGTAGAAAAAGTAATACCATTCTAAAGTTTCCTACTTCTTCTTTTTTTGTTTTTTTCCCTTTTGCTGGCAAGTTCATCCACCCACTAGCATTTCGTCTTTATTCCCCAACCCCTACTTTTCTTGCTGCCTCGTGAATTATGATCACGACTGACAATTCATGTAAGCTGAACTAGGAAAACTCACATTTATGATATCTTAAATGACTTCATGTCGCTTACAATTATTCAAATCCTATAACTTGTTTTTCTTTAAAGTTTGGAATATATTTAGCAGCTTCCATCGTCGGATTCATATATATACTCCTAGTTGCCCATTAGACAAGAAGCAGTACAGCCATGGCATTTCACAGAGGTGATCAAGTTGAGATCATGAGCAAAGAAGAGGGGTTTCAAGGCTCGTACTTTCATGCAACAGTAGTCACAAAACTTGAGATGGATGAATACATAGTCCAGTTCAAGACTCTCTTAGAAGATGATAAGCCTGCGCCTTTGAGACAGGTGCACACGTTGGATGAAATAAGACCAATCCCACCTGAAATTCCTAGGAAGAAATTTTACGTGAAGCAGAAGGTGGATGCATACGAAGGTGATGGATGGTGGGTAGGAATTATTACTGGTATAGAGGAGGCTGAATCTGAAGAGGAGTTTAAGTATACCGTTCGCTTCCAAACTACAGGAGAACAGCGTTCTTTCAAGTTGGAAAATTTGAGGGTTCATCAGGAGTGGGTGAACGGTAACTGGATTTTCTCCAAGAGAGGAAGGAAGAAAAAGGTATGGAATTTCATTCGATCTGTTTTCTTCGATGATGTATTTTATTCTCATTTGTTTGTAATGCGACTGTCGCAGGGAACAGCCTAATGATGAGAAGATTTTGGAAAAATGAAGAACCATGGAATTAAGCTTTGAGTTTGAAGAGAGAATTTATTAACTTTGTAATAAGTACATACAATTTGAAGCTACCGGAGAAGAGGGTGCTTGTAAGATTGTAATTGGTTCACTCACTTTCTGGTTTATTAGCAGACAAAATCCAGTGGTCATTCTAACTTTCGAGCAAGGTGAATGGTTTGCACGGTGTCCTCGGATAGGATTTCTCTTGACATCTTTTTGTATTTTCTTCAACATTGTCGTGTTTTAATTGACCTTAAATCTTGCTGGTGTGTTTTTCTTGAGGAATTGGCTTCGTTTTCTTGGTTATAATCCAGTACTAAGCTCATACCATTCTTTTTCAAGATTTATAATGTTTTATCGTGTAGATTAATGGCGCATCACTAAGTTACATAAATCCTAATAAACCTAAATTGTTCATACTTTTGTATGACAAATTATTAAGTTACATAAATTCTCAAACTGCCAATTTGGTCTCAAATTTTTCTAGACCTCAACTAGAGAAATGTGACAAAATATTTGTCATGTATTTAATTCAATTAACGTATTATTTTATCTTAAAAGCTTTAGTTATAAACATGTAAAATTTGAGAGATCAAACTTCAAACGTTCGAAACTAAAAATGCAGGCTCAAAACTTTTTGGCTAACGCAAATTTAATTTTATCCGTTAGTTTTTATGATTTTTAATCAGTCATTCTACATTTCTCTAAAATCGAAAATTTTGGAGACTAAATTTTGTTTTAGCCCAAATATTAAGGACTAATTTGATGCATAGACCAAATATTGACTGCTAAAACGGTGGATGGAAGATTATTTAAAATATTATTTGAAATAATTAGTACCGCACTTTTGTTGTGTGTTGATACGTACGAGATAAAAAAAAGTTAATTAAAAATTATAATTGTGACAAAAGTAAAATGATATTCGAAAAACATTTAATATCCAAACACGGCCTACACGCCCTGCTACTTTTTTGCTATGTTGAAGAGTGTGTAAGTTAAATAGCGGCCATTATTTGTTCGTAATTTAAAAGCCCTGTGCATAATTCATTCCCGGAAATATCACAGCCATCTCTGATCAAACTACCGGTGCTCCTTCTCTGACGTAATCACGTTTCCCTCCACCAAATTACACACACAACACACAGCACAATGGCGGTAGTGAACTGCTACATCTCCTTAACCTTATCACAAGATTCCTCAGCAGCAGCACAGCCAGCAGCTCGAAGTCCAAGAGAAACCAAGATTTTGCTGCCAAAAAAGAAGCCTCTCAAATGGTCTACTGGGGTGGCTCCAGGGGAGTGGGGCGGCCCACCAACTACGTCCAAGCTCAGGAAGTACTGGGGTGGCCAGGATGAGGACCCGCTAACTTCTGATGACTTCATTTGGAATAAAGATTTCATGGGTCGCATGAAAAGGCTCATTGAGGACCCTGCTGATGGTGTTGGGAATTCCTCATTTGACCCTATTGCCTCTCCGGCAAAGGTCCAAAATTTTTAAATTAATTTGTTGTTTTTTGGTTATAATATGAGCTGGGCTTGTGTTAATTTTTGTTATTTATTAATTTCTGTGGTTGAATTTTGAATTCCTCATTATTGTAGGTGTAGGAGGATATGTCTAGTGTCCTTTTTGTTCTTCTTGAAGGCTTTGGGGTTCTTTATTTCTTGTTGACATGTCTGATATCTTGCTAATTGAACTTCGTTGTCACTTACGATATGGCTAACATAGGATTTTCCCATTGTGAATTTTCTAGAATTCTTCTCTGAAATGATTGCCATCGCCCCTCTCTTTGTTGATTGTAACGGTCGTTCTGAGGTTGTCTGGCTTCCAAATTGCAGACCTCTCTCTGTTTATTTGTCATGATTTTTTGTCTACTCTGGTATTTACCATGGAGCTCAAAGTCTAATTTTGTAGGCCAAGAAGATATAACAAGATAATCAGATTTTGCTTTGTACTTCATATGGTGTTTTTCTAACTTGCTTGCATATAATATATGTGAAACAGGGACAGTCTTCTGGATTTCTTAGCTTGAATAGGGTCATGAGTCTTGACAGGTACGATCTTGCATATGCTTCTTCATGAATTGATTTGCTTCAATTGTCATATTCACCGTTCTATGACACGTCAAATTTTTTTTCATTTAGTCTGGAAGTTGACTTGAGCAAGGAACTAACAGCTCCTTCAAAAGCTGTAGTAGAAGAACAAGTTGAGGAGACTCAAGTATGATGAAAATCTATGCTTTCTTGCTTTACTGTTTCTCTGAGGTAGTTGTGCTGTTGCATCTACCCTTCAGTTCATTTAAAGATTTGATGGCCTTCAGGCTAATGGTACTGCATCACGAAGATGGAGACCAGCACCAACACGACGTGAGCAAGAGAAGTGGGACAGAGCTACCAAGGCTGCAACAGGAGGCAGTGTATGTTAGATAAGCTCAGCTACAGTTGAATTTTTTCTCATTCTAGCTAAGAGTCCTTCTATTTGCCTTAATTCTTCCTCCATTGACCGTGAAACCCGTATTCCTTAGGGATTAATGTTACACTGAAAAGCATAATATTTAACCAAATGTGCTTTTTCACATTGAAACCGAGTGGTTCATCTCAATCTCCAGGATGTGATGTTCCGGGAAATTCGGCGACCAAAAGGGGATCCAGAAGTTTTGGCAGCTCAGTCAAGGGAGCAGTATTTTAAGGTGTGCTGTAACATCTAATGGCTCCATATGTTTCATGATCTTTGAGATCAAGAGCCTCCAAGCTAATTCTGCTCAATTTTGCAGTTGAAAAAGAAGTTGCAATTCCTTACTCTAGGCATTGGTGGAATTGGTGTACTCTCGGCTTATATATCCTATACTCCTGAAATTGCTGCAAGGCAAGTATTTATGATTGTTATTTTCATCTTTAGGGTATGAGTGGTTCTCCCTCGCAATATTCAGGTATATGGTTGAAATGTAGTTTAATTTTTCATGCGAGATTTCTGACATGGTATGAAAGACAACGTTAGGGTTAATCAGGAGTTCACTGTGTGCATATTGTTCTTCCAAATTCTTTTGTTTTTTTGCATTCTTTGATGTGACTATCGTATTAGAGTCTTACCCTTTCCAACCAGAAAACTTTTTCCTTCCATTCTGTCTTGGAAAAGATGTGTTTATTATGAAAAATTATCTTTATGGTGAATATATAAAACAAGTATGTGTGAAATTTTGTGAGTGCTTCTAATAAATGTGATATTGTGTTCTCAATCAGCTATGGTGCTGGACTGCTTGGCTCTTTGGCTTATATGAGGATGCTTGGGAAAACGGTGGACTCCATGGCTGATGGAGCAAAGGGGCTTATCAAGTAAACAAATCTTTGTTTCATTTTCATATGACTTTTAAGCTAATAACTTTGGCTATATATGCACTATATTCTCCTTCCATTTGCAGCTGTGCAAGGTGTGGATGATTTTTTATGACATCCAAAAATTGTACATACCTTTGAAGATCCAGTATTTAAAAGTTACATAACCCTTACATGACAATGAGATCCTGGCAGCAAATAAAAGAGGGGGGGGGGGATAGACAGGAGGGAAAATGGTTATTTAATGCTTCAAAATTGTGAAGGGGTAATGTTGAGCTTTCACAGAAAGTCCATTAGTCTTCAGCTCATAATGCACTAAAATTGCTTATGTAGAAAGCCTTCAGGAAGTTGAATTATGTAACTCTGTGGGTGTCAATTTTCTGTTGTTTGTCTTTATGTTCTAGTCTTGGTCATCCTCGTCTAAAGAATATGCAACACAAAAATCATCATTTTCGTGGAATTTGGAGGCATCTGGGTTGCACTCAACTTGGATACATTTTTTACTTGCAGGGGAGCAGTTGGGCAGCCGAGGCTCTTGGTTCCTGTTGTCTTGGTCATGATCTATGATAGATGGAATGAGTGAGTCCTTTTGCTGTCCTAGTGTGATAATTTAGTTGCATTATCTGTTATCGGTGCTCCACTTAAAAGTGTTTGTCTGTTTTAGCCCTCCTTTAAATTGCTTCTTCATTGGATCTTCCATGCATATTGCCTTCTTTTGTAGGTTATCAAGAAGTATCAGAAAAGGCGATTTATGGTTCTTTACATGAACACTGTTGTTGTATAATTGTTAGTGGAGAAAGTTATCCTGTGTTCCAAATAACTGCATCTAATGAGATTCACTGGCTTCCTAGTAGGAAGCTTCCAATGGTACTCTCCAGATACGGTTAGGGGAAAAATATGTAGCAGGGTCGCATATTAGGAACTTCTCTATTTAACAATCTCCTTCATGTGATTGTTTAAATGCTGAAATTAGTTAGATTGTGTTGGTGAATATGCCTCAAATCTTTGATTGGAAAAAGTAGTGTGACCAACCTTGGAAATTGGAGGTCCCAAGACCCATTCATGCTCTCCCAGCCAAAAGAGCACATATTGATAACCTCATGGGTGAAAGAAACAAAAGTACAATTTGTCAACCTTATCGAGCTTGTTCTCGCACATCCTTCATACTCTTTATTCTTGTCTGTGCTTCATGCAGCACCGAGAACTCTTTATTATCTCTGTCCAAATCCATTTCCTGTCTTGTACACTAATCCGAATCTGCTCATTACAGGATTTTAGTTCCGGAATATGGTTTCATGCACCTTGAATTGATACCTATGCTAGTGGGATTTTTCACTTACAAGATTGCTACCTTTTTCCAAGCTATCGAGGACACATTGACTGTCTCTGGAGAGAAAAGACAAGCTTAGCATGCAATAGTCTGCTACTTATACTCCTGTCATTCTTGATGAAGTTTATAGAGGTGTGTATAGCGGAAAATACAGTTTACCTGATGGAATCAAATTTCTGTGGACAGAGTTATTCCCGAGAAACTGGCATTAATTTATTAGTGTTTGCCTTGTTCACAGATGCCAGATGATTATTTGTGAAGCTAGAAAGAAAACTACTTGGTATATTCCATACAAGGTGGGGATCATCAGAGATAGTGCTCCAGATGTTAACAATGTGAAACTCTATAGTATATACATAATTTGTGCATCTGGTGGACATCCAGAAGTCGAAAATCTTTCTGCTTACACTTGCATCTTGTTATAAAATTCTTTTATGCAGAAGAACTTGCATCTTGTTGAGAAACAATATGTTACCCTTTTAACAGATGCTTGTGATTCGATATCTATTGTTAGAGATTCTTTTGTCTGTTCGCCTTTTCTGCACATATGATGAAATCTGTGGTTGGTGCTGAGAACTTGTGGATGAACAAAAAAAATACAAAAACAAAAAAACAAAACAAAAAGGTGGTCAGTTCGTTGAATTGGTGCGACTCAAAAGATTCATAAGAAAAGATCCAATACAAGCCTTCAAAGTCCAAACCCATGTATTGCAAGCGATTTTCGCCTCCAAGGTTTCAGGACTGAATTGCAGTTAATCAGGCTTACCATTGACTCTTGCATTTTCTCCTCTCTTTTAATTAGTCTCCATCTAGAAGCAGATTTTTCATGTCGAGGGTCGCATGGTCAGTTAATAGCTACATAATAAATTCTCGAAATAATAATCATACTATTCTAACATCCTGTCTCCTGCAAACCTGAATATCCAAGTTAGGAAGCTACAAGCCAAGGTGACCTAAGGCTAAAAATCACGAGGTAAACATGTTGCCCAGCAAGTTTCGGGAGGATGTATAACATTTCTTGTATATTGACGAACTAGCAATTATTCCTCTCTTGCCAGACCGTAGAAGAGTTCTCCTCTACTGCCTGAGTAAGAGAAACGGAAAAACTAGTTCTGATTAACCATGCAAAAATGCAGAAATTTATGCAGCTAGACAAAAAGAATATGAAGATTAAAAATCGTAACTGCTTTATTATCTGCAGATTCTGAGGGAGGCAGTTTTATAACACAATCACAAACTTGAAACAGCTAACATCTATTACTCAGATATTCTCTTCATAGTAAAACTTAACGGGCCTCACTTTTAAAGCAAACATGATATGACACCAGCTGCCATATGTTTCTCCCGAGTCATTGTATTTGTATTAACTTAGCAGGCATCAGGTTTTAGAACAAATGCAATGTGTTCCAACCCTTAGCCGGTGTTCTGCAATCCAGCGGCAATTCCTTTCATGGTCAAGATGAGAGTGTCTTCCAATCCAGGAGCATACTCGCTGCTCGGGTTAAGCTTGACCAGCTCAGAAGCTGATTTGCTTGATGGCAATGAATCTGTGATTTCCTTTGATAGGTGTGGCCTCACCTTCACATTGTAGCTAGGATCACGGATTCGCTTTAATGTGTAGGCTTGGCATACGTTCAATGTGGTAATGTATGGATCACGAAGTCTGAGTCTTTGTCTCAAGTAAGGGTCTCCTTCAAGAAGTTCCTTGTGACCAGCAACCTAAATCAAGAGAGCAACCAAAATGTATTTCAGATTCCTTGATCTCACTTTATGTACTTTGCTTTGAAGTCAATAAACAGAAGTTCTCCATGAGATGAGTTAAAATAACTGATAAGCACAATACAAACATCACCAGGTAAATAAAATCCCTACAAAAATGATCCATAACATATATTACACATACTGTACATCTACTGCTAAGATATAATCTCGCTCCACAATTTATCCAAATTTAGTTGAATAGAACCGGCCTCAGGTGTAAGATCTTTCTACAGAACAGTTAAGGCCATCCAACTTTATGGAGATCCTATTGCCATCAATGATCAAAATTTCTCCATTTAGGTACAATCACTGAGCAAATATTATATGCCAAAAGACAAATACGCTTTCAATTCCTCTGTTCACACTGGAGTCCAGGTAGTTGGGATGATTAGCAGAAAGATCAAAAAATCTTTTGGTGAAATATTACAATTTTTTATTGTTACCTGAAGGACGAGGTTCTTAGTTTCTTCATAGTTAGACCTCAAGCGCTCTCCAAATGACCACAGTTCCTCTGAGACTAGTAGCTTGTCGTACAAAGCAGCAATTTCTGGGTCTCCCTTAGCAAGAACCATTTCAATCAAGTCAATTGTCACTCTAAAAAAAGGCCATTCCCTGTACATATCCTTGAGCATTTGCAGATTTCTGATATCTTTATCAATGACATATTTAAATGCAGCCGCAAAGCCAAGCCAGACTGGAAGATGAAATCTTGTCTGAGTCCATGCAAATATCCATGGAATAGCTCTGAGGGATTCAATTCCACCACTTGGCTTCCTTTTTGCTGGACGACTCCCAATGTTCATTCGACCATACTCTAACTCTGGTGTTGCCTGCAGATTGAAAAGTTAATTACCTGTGGTGATTAATCACTTTGTTTAAGCTCTAATACTCCTAAACTAGATTGATATACGAAATAACTTGCAAAAGACAGGTCCATGTTACCAATTATGCCATTGAGCCGCAACGGCACACAAAAGAAAGTAATGACCTCCAGAACAAAAGTTGGTGGATGAACTCCTATTTCAAAATGACTAACTAATAAACATATTGCGTCTCTTTGCATATTAAAGGTTGTCATACCTTCTCATGGATAAAATTTTTAAATAAATGGTAAAATCACATGTGAGGTACTTACTAGACGGAAATACTCAACGAATCGAGGCTCCTGGAAAACTACAGAACGATACTCTTTTGTAGCAACAATAGCCATCTCATCCATAAGTGCGCGCCATTCTGGCTTTGGTGAGACAGGGGGATGCATTCCATGCTCCAGAGTAGCCGCTGTAAAACGCTGGAGGGTTCTGAAACATAAATGCTCTTCCCCAAAAGACTGTTCAATAACTTCTCCTTGAACAGTAACCCGAAGTGACCCGTGAATGGTATCTGGAGGCTGCGATAATATAGCAAGATGCGTGGGACCTCCTCCTCTTCCAACGGTCCCTCCTCGGCCATGGAACATTGTTAGTTTAACTCCATATTGTTTGGCCACCTTTACAAGCTCCTCTTGAGCCTTGTACATCTGCCAAGCTGCAGAAAGACGACCTGCATCCTTTCCTGAATCAGAGTATCCTATCATGACTTCTTGTTTACCATTGATTCGATTACGGTACCAATCTATTGAAAACAGCCGAGCCACAGCAGCTGGTGCAGCCTCAAGATCAGCAAGTTTTTCAAATAATGGAACAACCCTGAGTGGAGTTTTCACATGGCATTCACGTTGCAAAAGTTCTACAGCAAGCACATCTGATGGAGCAGTAGCCATTGAAATTATATAGGCCCCAAAGTTATCTGATGGAAGTTCGGCAATGACATGAAAGGTGTCCAACACGTCAGCAATTTCTTCAGTTTTGGGAAGATCAGGACCAAATAGAGGACGTTTTCCACTAAGTTCAGATAAAAGCCATTCCTGTCTGCGTTCCTCTGACCACTCTCGGTAGGATCCAATCACTAGGTGTCTAGTGATGGCATCTAGAACATCAGTGTGCCTATCTGATTCTTGTCGGATATCCAGTCTCACCATTGAAAGTCCAAATGTTGAAACTTGCCTCAGAAAATCAAGAAGGCTTCCATCGGCAATTGGTCGATCACCACAAGCACACAGTGATCTGTAACACAACTCCAGAGGCTCCAGAAACTAATGAAATGAGATAAATCATCAGTATCAATATATTACATAGTCGTATGTGCATAATGTATGTCTGCATGTACAAAGTCTAAAAGTTTTATTGAACTACATTGGCTCTTAATTATAAAAAAAAAATAAAAATAAAAAATTGGGAGGTTGTGGGTATGATAGCTTCCTTTGGCTCTTTATTAAAAGAAAAAAAAACTCCATTGTCATTTGGGAGGTTGTGGGTATGATAGCTTCATACACTAAGCCCTGACTCACAACATGTAAGCCTAAGACATAACTGCAAATTTGGCTTACTCAAATTACACAACCATCTGCAGCAAACTTTTCCAGCATTCCACTTTAAGCTTTTAAACTAGATTCTCTCTGTCAATCAAGAAAATGCTACATGTTCTTTTCTAACACTACTTGCTGCCCGAAATTCTCATTACACTTTTGGTCAATAAGGAGCCTTCATCTTAATTACTCTGTTGTTGTTAGTAAATCAATTAATAAATAAAAAATCATAGCAAACCATCTATTCCAAGACCAATAGCGGCATGATTATGGTTTTACATAACTTCTTTTCACATTGAAAAATAAAAAAAGAAAAAGAAAATACTAGTGCACAAGAAAAATAAAAAAGAATCCGTTTTCCACTGTTCTCTGTGTTGACCAGAAGTTGACAAATATAGCCACAGCTCATAACTAAAATTTGAAGAAAACCAATATTATGAACCTTTATGCAGTTATAAGTAAAAAGTATAAACACTTTGCCATGGGTAGACCTGTTCAAGATTAGCAAATGCTGCTTCTTCAGGAATATCAGAGATCCCAGTGGCTAGTAATTGTCGAGCACGTTCACGAGTATTATACAGCTTATCCCTCACATCACCAAGAATAACACGATAAGGCTCATTTGGTGGAATTTGCTTCCAAAACTCTGCATCAGTACATTCAAAATTAACAAAGCTCACAACTTGAATTAAAAAAAGGGATAAAGAATACAAAAGAGTCAACAACTACTATTGCCCAAAATTAGATTATCCCAATCATATATTACATAACCATCTTCACCAACTAGAAGGTAGTTAACCACGGAGATTATGCTCGACTAATAATTTTGGCACACCAGTGTGTGTACCTCAAAAAAAAAACAAAAAGAAAAGTTATGGATGGTTATAAAACTATTTTGAAATATTGTGGATACTTATAAAACTGCCTCAATATTTTATTAATTGCGTGTGAGAGGGTTGTACAATTTTATCCTTCACTTAGGGGTAATGTTGGCATTCCAAAAAGTGAGAATATTTGTTAACACAAAGAAGATACTGTGGCTTTAAATATAGTTAAATATTTTGATGAATAAAAGGAAATTGTAACGATCATTCAATAAGGTTTTTTTCGTGACTTGCCTTAAATCTGGATCAAATATAGAGAATGCATGAATTATATAATCATCCATCATAATTGATAACTTAGAAAAAAATATATATCGAAACATAATTCCAATTTCAAACAGAAATAATCTCTCAAGAGATTACCAATAAAGTGTTTTGCATCTCTTCTTGAAGACCTATGAAGTTCATCTGCACGAGCTCGAAGTTCTTCACTGCAACGCCACATAGAAAGCTGCACGAAAGATTTTTAAAAGCAAAAT